GACAATATGAGCAAAATCTAAATAATTCTGGAAACCTTCACCCAATTTCTTGCCATGGAACAAAACACAAAATTCAGCATAACACCAAAGAAATAGAGATACAGGGAAAGAATTAAAACAGGAGAAAAAAATCTGTAAGAAAATACGGAATATTTTGCAGGTCTTACCAAAAACAGAGTTCTGAAGTTGCTCAGATCACCAAAGAATTCTTCTATGCTTATTGTCTTGGGATCAAAGGTGAAGTATTCTCCCAAATTTTCATACAATTTTGTCATGTTGTTGTGCATGTTGGACAGTTTTTCATATTGTTCTCGGGCACTCTCAGCAAAGCTGTGAGCTTTTGTCAAGGAAAATTACTCAAATGCAGCACAAATAAAGGAATAAAAAAACCTCAGTAAATAAAGGAAAAAGTACACAAGGAAAGAGCTCTCAGCACAAAGGGTACAACTGCAAATGTGCAAAATGTGCTTCCAAATATGATCTTTTTATAAATTAATATTATTAGTAATAGTATTAATACCACCATTTTATGAATAATATTAATATCTGTCAGTTCATACCAACACTTCTATTAAATGATCCCTTTCCAATGGTGAAGATTTGTCATTGCCAGAGAATACAATTTTCTCTATAAAATTTTTAAATACTGTAGGCCTTTTTAATGAAGAGATGAACAATTTTATAGAAGGAATTCTATGAAAACACACAGTGAAATTTAGTTTGCTGTGAGAATCTATGGTCTCACTGCCCCAGTGAAGCCATGTCCCCCACCTCACACACATATTTTATAGGTAAAATGTGCATAACCACCAATGACAAAATCATACACTATGACATCTCATTTTCTTTGCCTTTTATTACAAAATTCTTCTCTGCAGATTCTTTCCAGCCCAGCCACACAGTTCATGCCTCAGGCTGCCTGTGTTAGATTCACTTTTTGAGGCACAATCTCAACTCTATAATTTCACCTAACTTACAAAAATGAAATATCCACCCACCCGTCCCAGCAAACTGACAAACAGCTTTGAGAAATTATTAGTGAGAAAAATACCGTGGAACAACAGAAGTCTTGATTTTTTTTAGGAAGCCTAGAAATGAGACTGAGATTGCTGAGATCCCAGCAACCATCATTAAAAGTTTGACAAAATGCTTTTAAATAGAAAAATGTGGTGTTTTTTGTTTGGTTTTTTTTTTCCCCATGTGGAGAAAAAGGAAAAAAGAGACAATTACTTTGCAAATAGAGGAAGGGTGCAAGCTACTAAAGGAAATATTGGTTTGCCTCAAAGCAAGTGCAATTTAGTCTGCTCTTTTCTTCTGTGGGGTTGTTTGGAGGCACAAAGTCACAAATCTCTGGGAAAACCAAATGTGCTGCAGGATTAAAGCAGCTCTGCTGAAAGAATAAAGGACACCAGAAATTCCCTGAGCCACAGCAACCCTGCAGCTCCTTCCAGGAGAATTCTGCTGGGGAACAGGGCAGAGCTCTGCCCCAGCCTCTCCCCACACCTGCAGGAGTCCCAGCTGTGCTCACACACCTCTGAACAACAGCCAGCTGCAAACCACACAGAGAAATCCTAAAAACAAAAATTATTATTGAGATTAGGCTAAATCCAGAAGGGATCCTGCAGAAAGCAGTCAGCAAACTGCAGAATAAAGCAAGGTGGATGTTCTGCTCACAGCCTTTCTGCAGCTCCTGGATGCTGCTGAGGACCTGCACAAGCTACAGACAAGCACAGCAGGGCTGAAAATGCCTTCCTTTGGAAAGGAAAGGATTCCATAATACTCCAAATATTCCAACTGGATGTGCCTGTTTTAATGAAGGGAGAGTACATAAATAAACAGTTAAAAAATGCTTCTTAAAAGTATGATTGAAAACTTTATCAATATCAAATTTTCCAAGCAATCCTCTCAACTAAAGCCTCGGTGGCCTAAGAGCAAAGCTGCTAGCTCCTGAAGTTCATTTAGAAACAGAAACTCACTCAGTGATGGATATTCATTTATAAAATCAAGGTTTTGAAACAATATCTGCCTATGCAGTGCCACAGCAGTGGCAACACCTCATTCTCAGTTTATTGAAAACAAGTTTAACCTGCTTGATTAGAATTTTAAGCTTGGACTGTTGAGCTGCTCATCTCAAGATAAACCTGGTGCAGTTCAGTCTTCAGTGACATTTAACTGCACAAAAGGAAATGAAAGTTTAATGGCAAGAATACATTAAATAGGTAATAATGGCACATTACTGAATTATTGAGTACAGTCTAAAAATTTTAGAAAAACACAAATTGCCTTAGAGTCAGCAGATTGCTGTCGTGAGCAACTCACCACAAAGAAATACATATAAATGTACAAATTAATTCAGGAAATCCTTTAAAAACAACCTTACATTATGTAATACAAACCCAAAAATGACCGAAAAATCTAAAATAAAAAAAAATACTTGGACAATTCCAGATTTGCAGAGACAGAGCTCCCAGCTCTCCACTGATACTGCAATCACATAACAAATAACAACAGCAAGCACTAAAACACCCCAGTGCTGCTACTGAGAGGAGATATTTTAAAGCACCCCTTTAGAAATAGACAGTGTAATTTCAACATTATTATTTTTTATCTATTAAGTACCAAACTGCAAGTAAGAAATATCTTTAACAGATGGCCTGCAAGACAAAGGGATGTCAGCAAGACAGATGAACGGGGGGAGCCAAGAGAGAATTGAGGATTTCAACTGTGCTTAATTCTGAAGAAGACAAGGCAGAGCTGTAAAGACAATAGTTCCCAGACATAGAGCATGCAATATTAACACAGCTACTGTCACACTCTGTGTGCTTCATCCAACCTTCCTGCATCTAAAATATCAGCAGTTTAAAACATCCCCTTGAAATGCAGTGATTCAGCCAATGGAGTAATTCCAGGGGAGCACAGCCAGATGTGCCAGCACTATTTCATGAAAAAATTAGTGAGGAATGTGAGGTGTGTCAGCTTTGTGTAACAGCAATCCTTAATTCCAACAGTTTTCCTGAGAGATTGAAGCTTTACCAAGTGCTGATTTCAAAACTCTAAACTTGGTTTCACTCTTGCCACTCCAAACCAAAAATCACAGATTTTTTCCCCCAGCAAGTTAAAGGTGCTTGTTCAAACAGCAGAAAGTGCTTTATTCAGAAGCTTGTTTTTTCCGTATTTTCTTGCATAGCACTGCAGAGCAGGATTCTGGCTTGAGGAACCAGCAGGCTAAATCTCTGTTTTAACTTGTTAGAAGAGGAAGTTTGAGTCAGTGGTGTCATCTTTAATGAAGGATGCACAAGAGCTCTTAGTTTCTAATCTCCCAGCTCATTCATAATGGAGCATTCTTTGAATTGAACTGTGGCAATGCAAACAGAACTTATTAACTGAAGACAGAAATTCAGCTTTAATAGCACTAAGTCATTTCCACTGATAGCTCTATTTCCACCTGCTATCAGGGTGTAAACACATGCTAACAATTTCATCACTCACTCCATCCATAATGCATCTCTGTGACTGCACAGCAGCCAAGACTTCTGGAGCATACACAGATAATTATGAATCACAATTATATCCCTAATCTTTTCCTCCTGTTGGAAGCCTTTGCAAAAACAAAACAAAACCAAACAAAAAATCCTGCAGAACTCTTTATTGCAATACACTTCACTCTACCCAAATCAGAACCCAAAGAAGCCAAGAGCCATAGCAGGAGCCCAACTTTATCTGTGTACACAAAATCATGTGCTTCTGAAAAGCTTAAAGATTCCCTAATAAAATATCATAAAAAGCTCTGTGTGAGAATTTCTTTCTCATTACAAAGCAAATTGCCTCATCATTCAGAGTCTGGCAGAACAGATCAGGAAAAACCCAAACAAAGCAAACCACAGAGGATTCTCAGCTGTCTGGGAGCAAGGAGGGCTCTTCCTCCCCCTTTGTGCCATTAGTACCTGAAATGATCATTAATAATTAGAATTATGTAACACAACTGCATTCAGTGCAAAAAGACAGGATTTCAGTGGGTTTTGTGTTTGTGGGAATGAAGCACAGAAAGGTCACAACCATCCAAGAACAAAACCCTGGCTGGACCTGCTCCTTCTCCTAAAATCTCAGAATAGCAATTAATTCATGGTAATTAAGAGGAAGCTTTCTGACTTGTGCCTAAATGGCCATAAAACTTTCATCTTGGTAAGCACTAAAAATTCTGTCTGTGTTTACTTCCTCCCAGCTCCAAACAATCAATTCAGTTCCTAACTTTGCTGCATTCAAACTTCTCTATAACAAAGACAATTTCCATTGATTCCACCTCATTGCTATGCACAGGAGAAAGCCTTTGTCAACATCATTTCAATATTACTTTTTTATTTATAATTCTGTTAACGAGGACACAAAGATCACTGCTCAATTTTCTAACAGTCCCAGAGGAAGTCTCTGGGCAAAAACTGATAAACAAGGGCCTACTTTATAAAATATTCAGTCCAAGGAGCAAAGCCCCACAGAATTTAAAACTTGAACTCTTTCATACTGGGAAAGTTGGCTCCAAGCTTTAGGTGGAAAATTAAGAATTTCCTGTGGTAGCGAAAAGAGAACTTTAAAATAAGAGCATTTGGTTCTCCAAAGAGAGCACAAAAAGTAAAATTTCTAAAGCCACAGGCTAGAGAGAATGCAATATCTGTATTAAAAAAAACGTCCAAAATTAGAGCTAGGAATTAACCTAAAGTAACCTGAACCACTTGTGGGCTTTATTATTTAAGTGAATAAAAAGTTGCTGAATTCAGAAATTTTTTCCTGTTATTGTCACAGAGAAATAATTCCTGAATTCCACACTCCTGTTTTAAAAAGAGTTTTTAAAAGCTCTGCAAGGCCTGAAAGCAACTAAACCTCTCATCCTGGCAAAAGCAACACCTTATCTCCATCAACATCAGAACTTTGAAATTGTCTTCGTAGTGCCTGACAACAAAAATCATCTACTTCTCAATTCTCAGATATGATATTCTGATTTTTAAATAGTTTCAAACAGTATGAAGAATGGTATTTGTAGCTTTTTTCCAAACTCAAATATCTTTTTTATTTTGTGGTGGCAAACAATTAATCACTATTCCTGCATTAATTAGAAGGCAACACAGAGAATATGATAGTCAAGCATATCTCAGACAGAGTAATGGATTTGTAGCATCCCCTCCCTGGAGAACAATTAGATAAAAATCTCTTTAGATGAATAAAAACAAGAAGGAAACAACGAAAATGCAGCTCATACAAATGAAATGCTGTTGTAAAATTTGTTTTGCATATTATATTCAAATTAGTTATGACTGTTTCAAATAACACACAGTGTTAG